TGTGTGTGTGTGTGTGTGTGTGTGTGTGTGTGTGTGTGTGTGTGTGTAAACAGTGACGCACAGTAATGACATGAATTAGCACAGACAATTTCCTGGTAGTTTGTTAAGGATGTGGACTTGAGTTTGTATTAAGTAACATTTGTAAAATGTGACTTAAAAATGAGCACGATTTGGGTCTAGAGAAATGGCTCAGCAGTTAAGAGCACTATCTGTTCTTCCAGGGGACCTAGGTCGATTCACAGCACCCACATATTTATATATAACTCCAGCTCCAGGGGATCCAACACCTTCTTCTGGCCTCATCAGGAATGCATGTTATTCATACATGCAGACAAAATATACATATAAATAAATGATCATTTTAAGTATATAACCTTAAAAAGAATAATTATGAATTAAAACAAGTGTGTTCTCTAGTATAAACCTCTAGTGAAGGTAATAAGAACTTCCACTAATGTTGAAAACTGCCCTAAATTTTAACAGATTTAAAAATGAATTGTAGTATTTGCTTCAAGATAGCATTGCCATTGACATTACTAAGTGCCCTTTTGTATGTTGGGCTGTTATGGATATAACAGCAGTAAGTGTAAAGTAAAAGGTGCAGGAATCAGCCACTCAGAGAAATCCATAGAATGTTAGCCACAAAGGGATGCATAGTCTTCAGTTCCAATAGGCAAGGCAGGTCCTGGAAAGTAGGCCACTCACTTAGTACAGTAGATAGCATTTACAGGTACATTTATGTATTGTGGGGATACATTAGTGCCTAGACCTTCATAAGAGGAGCTCGGGATAGTTGAGGGAATCAGTGAAAGTGTAATTTTATGTTTGCTTGTTTCCTGAATAATAAACAAGTTTACATTACTTGTTATAAGATGGACTGAATTCAGGCTTTCCTCCAGGTACATTAGCATGCTATCAAAGATGGTTTGAAAGTCCATGTTTATGTGAAGTTAACATATTGTGATATTGTTACACTATTTTTTGATAGTAACATGAGTAACACTGGCTTTGGGATCCTGCTGTGTCAAAAAATTATTCAAAAAATTATAGAACAAGTTAAAAACTTGAAAATATCAGATGTGTTAGTTAGCATATGCCTGTATTTCAGCAGTTGGGAAGCTAAGGCAGGAGGATCATAAGTTTGAGAGCATCTGGGCTACATAGTAGGACCTTGAATTTGAAAATGCTTAAGAAGTGTATATAGTGAATTACATATGTAGCTTATTTATTTATGTGCACTTAATTTATTCACAGAATTTTAAAATCTGAATTTAATTTTATTTTGCCTTCAGGAGTTTTGTGTTGATAGATTTAATACTAGTGCCTTGGGGGAAACTAAACATGTCTCTCCTGGTGACCCTTACAAGCTGCTCCTGCCATAGCTATGGATTTTTTTCTCTCAGGTAGTGACTGGGTTATTTAAAATATTAGAGAAAGCAAAGCAGGTTGCGAGGGGAAAAAAACCAACTACATTAAGTTCTATAAGGGATTAAGAAAGCATCTGTAGGCAAAAGGAAGGTAAAAGTAAGAAAATTCTTTCATGTGAGAATAACTCCATATTCAGAAGAGACAGCATAATGGCTTGACAGAGTAGAGCTGACACAGGGCTGTGTACCCTTGCTTGGCCTTGATTTTTTTTTTTTCCCCTTCAGAGCTGAAGCTGTTTTTGTTTTATTTTGATTTCTATTTGTTTTTAATCTTACTCAGAAAAGCCCGAGAAAACTTGGAATCAGGAAAGGATCTTACTTCTAAACAATGAGTATTTGCAATATTTCTAAGTTACATTTTTCAGGATGATTCAGGTTCATGTTGGCCAGGTCTGTTAGGCAGGTGTGGACTGTGCAATTTGAATAAAGCTTCTTGACTCTTTCCCAGGGTTGGCATTTAAATTTATTGTCTTACTTCATTTCTTCTTGAAGACACACCAAGTCTCTCTGCAATAGGGGAAACAGTATAAAATAGTTTTCCTTTTGTGGGTCTAAATGATGCCAAGTTGTAATATAGTTAACAATGTTTATTTTATTATTATATTATATTGCACATAACACGATGGAGTTGAGAAAATCCAACTTAGAATTCCTGGGTCTATCTTTCTGTATTTTAAATAGCAGGATCTCCATTTTCTTTAATGTAAAAAAGACATGACTTTTGTAAATCTTAACTTTTTTTTTCTTGGATTTTTAAGGCAATCCAGCATCCAGCAGATGAGAAGTTGCAAGAGAAGGCATGGGGTGCAGTTGTGCCACTAGTAGGCAAATTAAAAAAATTTTATGAATTTTCTCAGAGGCTAGGTAAGTTTAAACCTTTGTAATTTTTACTTTCTTGTTAAGAAAACTTGTTTATTGAGTCCAGAATTATTTAGAGAATTTTGTGTTCACAGTACTGAATTTGACTGTGTAGCTATTTGCAGGCTATTTGTGAGCACATGGTAATGTCCTCATAATTTTCTCAGCCCTAGGTCTTTGAATTGTTGAGATCATTTGTGATTTACAGAGGGAAATCTGGTTTCTTTGCATGCTCAAGGGTCTCAGTATTGGAAACCACATGGTAGAATTGGTAGATAAGTGCTTGCCACTGAGCGACATCCTAACCCATAAGACAGACATTAGAAAGAAACAGACAAGAGTTGGAGCTGTATTTTTATAATAAATAAAATGTTTTTAAAAACATTGTGTTCTGTTAAAGACATTGTGTGAGTATTTGTGTGTGTGTGTGTGTGTTTCTGTGTGTGTGTGTTTCTATGTGTATGTGGTGGTGTGGTGTATTTGGAGGCCAGAGGTTGTTAGAATGTTTTTCAGGATTGCTTCTGCATTGTATTTTTGAGACAGAGCTACTTACCAAACCAGAAGTTTACCCTTTAGGCTAGATTGAGTTGCAGGCATGTGCCACGGTGGTTGGCTTTTGCGTGGGATCTAGACACCTGAACTCAGGTCCTCACTTTTGTGTACTAGCATTTCTAAGCATGAAAATCAGTTCTTGTTCAGTTATTTTCCTTTTAGTCAAGTGTATGTTTGGTTTGTAGTTTTGCATCTTCTGTAATATCTTGTCAGTTTAGGTCTTCTCATCTTGGTTATTTTGACTACTATTATTTAGACTCTTTCTTACGCTGTTAATGCTTAACTGTAACTTGAAGTTACAGTGCTCAGATTCTACTAAGTTGTCTTGGTCTCTTGGTGTGTATCAGTGAAGAATGGAAAGTAGACCAAAGTAGGTGGATTTCAATGTTTTCTGATGTTCTAGATGTTGGGATTAATCTGGTAAGTGTGTCCTGTGGATGCTGTTTTACTCCAGCAGAGGATATAGTAACACTCCATAGCAAAAGCTTTGTTTTCCTGCTGTAGTAGTGGGCCTGGGCCTTTCATAAAAGAACTCTTAGAGACTTAAGTCATGAATAAAGTAAAACTGAAATCCAGTAATTACCTACCTTAACCAGTAACCAGTAACCTGGTTAATAATATTTCTAGCCTCCTTGCTAACAGGATGCATTTCTTTGCTTGCATGATAGACTCAGTGTTGTTGATGTTTTAATGGCTACACAAATTTGTTATCTCAAATATGTAAATACATGATAGGTTTTTGAGGTAACAGCTCTTTTTGACTCTTACTAGCTGAATAATCTTGATCACATCTAGAGTTTCAGTATTCTATCTAGACTTGCAGTCTGTTCAGTCTTTTGCCTATATCTCCTTAACTTCTCTTACTTCTTCTCTACCTACCCCTCCATTATGGAATCAGAGATGAGAATAAATACCAGACAGCTCATGGAATACCCACAACTGTCAAGTTGAACAAACCCTTCAGAGTCTTGCCATACCAATAAGAGAGCTCTGCAGACATACACGTCATTGGTAGTTGTACTTCAGAAGAGAGACCCTGATGCCTTGCCATCCTATTAGAGTTTAAAAGGCTGATGTTGCCAGACTCATTGGAAGATGCTGACTTTTGCTGATAGTCTTATTGGCCAGAGAAGTGTTGTGTTGGTCTGAGGCCTAGGAGCCTTTTTGTTGAGGCAGCTACTGTGCTGACAGTAGACACAATACTTTGGCTCACCAAGGTCTTCCTTCTTTATCTAGGGGCTTATGGAGCACTTGTAGCATGTTGGTTGTAGTCACTGGGCTTTTTTTTTTTTTTTTTTTTTTTTTTTTTTTTTTTTTTTTTTTTTTTTGCTTTGGGTTTTTTTTCTTTTTTGTTTATTTGTTTTGGTTTTCAAGACTGGGTTTCTTTCTGTAGCCCTGGCTGTCCTGGAACTCACTTGTAGACCAAGGTGGTCTTAAACTAAGAGATCTGACTGCCTCTGATTCCCAAGTGCTGGGATTAAAGGCATGCATTACCACTGTGATACTGGTAGTTTGCTTTTTAAGTAGTAAATTGTTTGCTTTGATTCAGACAGGATCTCTGATAGCCTAGGATGGTCTTGAACAGCCTATATCTGAAGATGACCTTGTGCTTTTTTTTTTCCTTTTTTCTTTTCTTTTCTTTTTTAACATTTATTTAGGGCCTAGAGAGATGACTCGGCATTTAAGAGCATTTGTTCTTTCAGAGGATCTGGGTTCGATTCCTAGCACCAATGTGTTAGCTCAAAACCGTCTGTAACTCCATTTCCAGGGGAACCAACCTCTGTGGGCACCATGCATGCATGTAGCACACATACATTCAGGCAAACACATACATAAAAGTAAATAAGTCTTTTTTAAAAATGTTTATTTGTGTCACAGAACAGTTGTGAAAGTCAGATTACAATAGTTGGTGTTTGAGAATGGTAATATGGCATATGGTAAGAATAGATGACTGTTGTCTCTAAAGAACTCTTTGCAGGGCCTTCCTCTTTCCATCATCTCATTGTTCTCCTTTGTGTTCTAGCTCAACAGCTTTCTAAGCTGGGTAATGACATCATCAAATTGCCATATTAAAAACTTAACCTCACATGCAGTATAAAGACTGCATGAATGTGAGGTTTTGTGTGCCTCATAAGGTATAAGAGTGGATGAGAAGATCAAGTAAGGGGAAAACAACTCTTTTTGGGGGGAGTGGTGAGAGGGATACTAATTTTTCTCCATATTCATTCCACCTATATGTTAATATCACTAGAAAGTAAAGTTTGGGAGCATTAAGAACAGGTGAAAATTGGCTGTGACAGGTTGTTAAAGAAAAAATATTAGTATTTGCCTTCATTTGATGAAGTTTCAGGCTTAATTTCAGCGTTTTGTATGCTCAGCATGCTAGGGCTACAGACAAGGGATGTAGAGAGCAGTTTAACCTGTGCTCTGGGTGTAGGTCAGATTCGTGCTCTGCATTGCTTTGAATCTGAGTTTATGGTAGAATGGGTTCTTTTAAGGTTTTTATTAAATTAGATATTAAAAAAGTAGACAGTTTTAAGTGTATGCAGCATTAACAGTGACAAGGTTTAGGGTTGTCTTTATTAGACAGGGGTCGGGGGGTATATGTATATCTGAATGTTGCCTGGGAATTGAACTCTCTGATATCTTCTTCATCTTCCTTGCCATAGAAGCAGCATTAAGAGGCCTTCTGGGAGCCTTGACTAGTACGCCATACTCCCCTACCCAGCATCTAGAGCGAGAGCAGGCTCTTGCTAAACAGTTTGCAGAGATTCTTCACTTCACACTCCGGTTTGATGAACTCAAGGTAGAGTCTGCTGGTACAATTTTTATAAAAATTGTGTTTTTCACTTAGTAGTAAGAGGAGGAGCCTCCTAACCTGTATATAAATGATATCTACCCAACTGGAGAGCTAGATTTAAAATGGAAGCCAGCCAAGTACCCAGGAGTCATTGTTCACTGTAGCTCAGTGAATTTGTGAACACAGGTAATCCTGAGCTCTTTTTCTAATGGTTTGTTTTTCTCTTTGTCCACTTTATTTCAAACTTTTTAAATACGAAACAGTTTTTTCTCTACCCCACCTTTCCTTTTCCCCCCTTTGCTCATATCATTTCACTTTTTATAGTATTTACACCTCTAAACCCCGAGTTGTTGTATGGAGCAAGTCTTAAAAAAAAAACAAGCTTGTTTTTTTGTTTTGTTTTTTTGAGACAGGGTTTCTCTTTGTAGCTTTGGCTTTCCTAGAACTCACTCTGTACACTAGACTGGCCTTGAACTCATAGAGATCCGCTTGCCTCTGCCTCCTGAGTGCTGGGATTAAAGGCATACACCTTCACCACTTTATTTTTTATCTGAAATATATATTTTTATCTGCACTATATTTTTTATCTGAAATCCTGAGTTATCAAAGTTCTCATAATTTGAACTCAGGACTTCAGATAAAAAAATACAAGACCTTTGATTTTTTTTTTTCAGGATTTTGAGTACCATTTTTAGGAAATGAGAAAGTTGTATTTGTAACTGTTACTTAATATTGTATTATAGACAACTTTTAATTACTATTAATACTTTGGGTACAAGGGATTTGTATGTAAATATTTAGTCTGTTGGAGAAATGCCCCATAGACCATATATGCATTCTTTTGTTCAAAGCAAGTACCCTTATATTTGTTTTTGTTTGTTTATTTGTTTGGTTTTGTAATATCAGTGTTTTCAATAAACAAGCACTTAAGTTATTAACTAAAATTATTGGAAAGGAGGAATGCATAATGCCCACAATTGAAAAACAGTCTGTGGTTTCATAGTTATCAGGAATGTTTCTGTATGTGGTAGCACACATCTTTATTCCCAGCACTTGGGGAAGGCAGAAGACCAAAGGTCTCTGTGAGTTCAAGGTCAGTGAGGAATACATAGTAAGACCTTGACTTTAAGGGAAAAAAAATATACTGAAGATTTCAGAAGTACTACAAGCTTTCGTGAGAATGCCAGATAGTTGTTAAAGCTAGCTGAGAATGTTCGGTTACCAGTTCAACCTATAGTAGATTTCACCTCTCTTATAGTAGCATTTGTTATAGAACAGTTGTCTTTCATACATAAGTGTTCTTTCACACATGTTCTCCCTCTTTAGATGACAAATCCTGCCATACAAAATGATTTCAGCTACTATAGAAGAACGTTGAGTCGTATGAGAATTAATAATGTCCCGGTAAGCTTATGCTTTGAATTAGGTTAGTGGTGGTAAAAATAAATTGATTTTTATTCTTCCCTTTGTTTGTTCATATACTCACTCATCAAATGGGTTTTTTGTTTGTTTCTTTGAGACAGGGTTTCTACATAGCAGTGGTTGGCCTAAAGTCACTGAAGTCTACTAGCCTCAGCCTCCAGAGTGCTGGGGTTAAAGGCGTGTGCCCTAAACCCAGCTTATTCAGAAGTTAAAGCTAGTAATTTTCAGTAACCATAGCTGTAGGAAAAGAGCAAACCATATACCATGCATTCTTTTTCCACTGTTTTTAATTCCTACAACCACTTCAGTAAAATTGTTTTGACTTTATAACAGTCATACTTTTAAAATCTCTTTGTATATTATTTTGACCGAACAGAAATTTTTGCATGAATGATGAATCCTGAAGAAAATTGACTCAGAATGAGAACATTAACTGACAATGAAAGAGACATGCTTGGGGTCATCTGCCTCATGCTGATGAGAAAATAATTTCTGGGCCTACACCTTGGCAGAATAGCTTCTTCCCTGGTTCTTTAGAGCTGCTAATCTCTTCCTATCCTCCGAAAGTGTTCAGTAATTTTTTCTACTTTTATGAAATTATCTTTGTGTTTAGGGGACCCATATTATGGTAATTGGTATCAAAATGGGAGAAATCACAGCACAACTTTATGTTCTTGTTAATAGTTTCAGATAGATATACTGGAGCTGTGTAAAGCGTGATAAAGAGTTAGAGAGAATTTTTCTTTAGGTTGCAAAGGCAGCATTTACTTATGTATTTTTTGATAGTTTAAAAAAAAATCCTTATGAAGTAGTGGTTGTAAAATGAACACCAGGTTGGAAGTAAAGGGTTTCTCTGTTCTTTACAACTGTTTGGATTTATGCAGACCACTTAGAATAAAGCTGATCATAGTGTCCTTGTTTTTTTTAATTCCCACCTGGTAAATAAAAACAACACTCAATTGTTTGCCTTCTTTTCCATCTCTACTCAAGAAGCAAGGACATTAGAGAGATCTTCAAACTGTCTTACATGCTCAGTAATTAGATATAAAGTCAACAGTTCTCAGTGAGATCACTCAGATCATTGCCTCATATCCCTTCTTTTTCTGTTCACCTCAGGGTCCATTTCCCCCTCTTTCAGTTACTTTGTAGCAGCATAACTTCTTTCCTGATGGTTTGGAACTGTATGCCTACTATTATGGGTTGTTGTTGTTTGTTTGTTTGTTTGTTTGTTTGTTTTTTAAGATGTTTACTTGGTACTCCTTTTAGTACTCTAAATGGCTCCCTATTTGTAAGGAAAAAGCTAACTTAAAGTAGCATTTAATTAAGGCCTTCTACAGGCTCCACTACTACTTTCATTTTCATTAGTTTTTGTCTCCTTTTGCACTGAATGTGTCGAAATGTGCTCTGCTAAGTCATTTTAAAAGTTATTTTCCCTCTCCTAATAGAAATATCTTGTTCATACACAAACATACACACACACATACATACATACATACATACATACATACATACATACATACATACA